TCTGCATAAACAAGTCAAGGGCTTGTCCCTGGGCAGCAAGATTAGAGCAGGGAAAGAATTAATATGCAGAAGAATGGACAGGAAGCCTGTCGGTCTGCCTGTGCAGATTCCCCGCTTAACATGGGTCTTGACTTTCTAGGCCGTCCAGGCTCTGGACAGGCTGTGGAAATGATTAATGATCTTTTTCAAAGCCAGGAAAAAGCAGCAAGGGTCCCTGGCAGGGCCACACCCTGGGTCCTGGGCCTTCACCCCTGACCAGTAGGCAGAAAGGCAGCCATGTGACTCTGGGGTTCCTGCTCCCTGATTGCTTCTGGTCTTCATTGGAAAGCGCCCATTCTATCTTGAAGAAGAAGTGGCCCTCCCTCTAGCACTCCTGGCATCCCCATCTTTGTCTCTAGTGCCATAGAAGATTGTCTCCTCCCTTTGCCCTCACCCCTACTCCCTGCTCTCAGTCTCAATGATAGGAAGGAAAACAAAGTGCCAGGGAACTGCTTTTATTTGGTTCCATCTGCTCCAGAAGTTCCTGGTCACAGCTTTGGCTTGCTGGTGCCAGTCCCCAGCACCATTCCCACCACCAAGGGTTAAAGCCCAGGAGCCCCGCAGCTTCACTGGATCCAGGCCCTCATAAAAGCTTTTTCCACATAGCCCCTGGGCTGCCTCAGGCTCCCTGGCTGAAATCTGATAAGGGGCCTCTTTGTTGGGACTGTCAGTCTCCTTTATTGAGGAGGGAACTGGAGACTAGTGGCATTTCTTGGGGTACCGATAAGGCCCTGCATTCCTGTCAGAGAGAGCATGATTAATTACCCTCAATCCTGGCTCCTGCTTTGATAGCAGTGACTGACAGTCCACAGGCTTCTCTGTTAGGTGCTGGGAGGCAAGATGAGATGGAGATTCAGCCTCCTGCAAGGCCAACACTAGTGCCCCACAAAGAGCTGTCTTCAGTAACTATTTGCTTCCTTTCTGGTTCTAGGCAGGTTGCTCTAGCATTTGTTGTGGGCAGAGGCCTGTCCCCTCTCAAGTGCAGAGCTTCCTTAGAGGAAGATGTAATCCAGCCCAGAGAGCAGCCCAGAGCCACACATACACACACACCCCCCCACCCCACCCACAAGGCTGGGGAAATAGCCATTGCTTATGGCCTTGAATGTCACATACAGCCCTAAGCCACCCAGTGCCTTGCATAGAAGATCCCAAACCCTCAAGGTCACTTGGGAACATTATACCATAATTCAGGCAAGCTCCTAAAACCGGGTCTCTCTCCCTTTGGTAATAGTCATGGCTATCAATTGTTGTTTTAAGTTTTTATTCATAGACCTATAGGACTTTAGAACTGAAAGTTGTCTAGTTCAAAGTCCTCATTACAGAGAGAGAGAAACTGAGGCATGAATATGTCACTCTCCCACCCCTCCATCCCCAAGTATGATGTATTCTTTTTTTTTATTCAGCAGGTGAACTCAGCTAAAAGACCTCTCCCCCGTCTCATCATAGTTGAATCTCCTTGGGACAAAGGAGATGGCTGCCAGGTCCATTAGGCACAGAGCAGACTGCACAGACAGACCAGCCTGAGGATCTTGCTTCTCTTAGTTGTCAGAAGTATAAAGCCAGGGCAGGATTTGTGTTTGGATAGTCTGGATAATGTGAGAAAACCACACCATCATCCAGAGATGATCATTACTCAGAATAGCCTCAGCTTTGTTTCTGACAGTTCCGAGGGGCCCACCTGCACTGGGAGCTACTTTTATTTGTTTTGCAGAGGGACAACCATGATGAAGAACGTGCCCGTTCCCCTTATCCACTGATCTCTGGAATGACGGAGGGACCCATGTGAGGGAATACAAGATCCCCATATGCCCAGAGTGGGGCTGGGCCACAGGGAAGGACTGCAGGGGCCACCACCAGGGTTCCAGTACACCCCTAGCCTGTGGTTTCTCTGTGGAGGAGCTGGAAAGAGGTCAATTTTTAGTTAGGTTTATATAGCCTTGACTTCAGACGTCACTTTGACCCTTCCTTGCCTTCTCAGGTTCTGTCTCTACTTCTCTTTCCTTTACCCCTGAGCAGTTCTCATCCTAATGTATGACCATAAAAGGGTGAATTTTTAATGAAATTTCTCCATCTATAGCATCGTTGTCTTTCAAAGAAGCCATCGCAAATAGCTAAACATTTGGTTCAGTGACCACTCAGAGTGAATTTATAATTCTTCTCTGGGGAGTTGGGCTTCAGAGCCACACTAGAAAATCTGTCATAGTTTATGGCTCCATCTCATCTTCAATCAAAATCAACATGTATGACCATTTCTAAAAGTAAAATACACCTTTTACATTTGAAGATTTACCACCATTGGAGAGATTCAAAATGAAAATAGTGTAAACTCTGAAGGCTTTTCACAAATGGAGGTCCAAAAATGCACGCCTGTTCTGTGTTCATCACAGATCCAGCCAGCTTCCCCTCTTTAATATCTGTTTTCCCTTCTTTTTGGTCCCCCTGAGTAAAGTTATGTTTTCTTTATCTTTTCAAAATCTCCAACTCTCCATCCATTCTTCTGCTGTTCATTCATTGCGGGGCTTGGATGCAGAGAGCTTGAGCACTCTGGGCCTCACTTTCCCAGTGTGTTTAACAAGGGTCGTGATCCTAATGAACCTGCTAGGGCCTGAGAGGAGAAGGTGACTTCCTCTTGGGATACCAGATGTAACAATTAGAAAATAGTTCTTTGCTGAACTTTAGGGTTTATAGGAGAAATGCTGAAAGAGAAGACATCCATTAGAACATTAGAATATTAGTTACAATGTTATTCCTAGAGGGAGTGAACATTGAAGGCCAGTGTAGAGAGTTTGGAGGCAGATCATTTTAGTCTTGATGAGGAGGGAGAGCACAAAGCAAAAGGTAGAGGAGAAATGAGCTTGGTTTTTGGGGGTTGTAGTGAGGAGACCCAGCTAATGCGAGAGTGAGTTGTTGGGATGCGCTGGAAATACTTTACACATGATCTTTTAAGGAGCATTGGAGAACTCGGTCATAAGATTGAACATGTGCAATGAGATGGTAGGCCGTAAGAGTCTTTGTAGGTTTTTGTAGTCTTTGTAGGAGGTGAGTAATATGGTGAAAGTAGTATTTTAATAAAATTGTCTGGCAGCCGTGTACAAGTTGAGTGCATTGATAAGAGGCTGCTGCAGGCCCCTAATGATGAGCCAGCGTGGGCCATGTCTAGGGTAGTGGCTGCAGGCCGGAAAGGGAGACACCTCAAAGGAATAATAAGTAAGCTTCCTAACAATCTGAAGGTTGGTGATAGTGGAGAGAAGAAGAGACAGTGCTGCCTCCAAGATTCCTGCCTAAAACCTCAAAGAATGATGTGTTGTTGGGAAAAGGAAGCGATGGGAAAAAGGAGCTAATTTAGGGGATAAAGGTGAGCTCAGTGGGAACACTCTGACTTGTAGTGAACAAGTCACATGTGAAGATGTCCTGGAAGCTTCTGGAAATGTGAGCTTAGGGTGCCTATGCGAAGGGACCTTGGGAGCGGTCTTCCCAGTCTCCAGGCGATGCCATGGAGGGCATGAATTCGCCAGCACTGTTAGTGTGCTTGGAAAGACAGGCCTCCAAAAGGAGATGGACCTTAGCTCTGTCCTGTCAGCAGACTGGTTCTGCCATACCAGGCTCTCATCTTATGACAGGGAGTAAGGTAGACTGTCCAGAACAGCACAGGGAGAAAAAGTTAACCAGTATACGAGCTGTATGTCTTCAGAGTATACCAACAGTCCTCTGATAGTTTACCTGTGAGTTTTTGAATATAACTCTATGACCCCTTTATCCTTGATCCTCCAAAGACCAGCTGGTCAAGACAAAGGCCTTGGAGACCCCCTGCTGTCTCTCAACATGGAAAAAGAGGCTGGGTCCTGCCATAGTAGTCCCACATGTTCATGCTCACACTGCTGCTGCTTCATAAATGTGGGCGCCTTCACTCCATTCTCTTGCTCGAATTATCCTATAAAAGAGTTGGTGAGGCTGCCATTCCAGGGCTGAGAAGAGAATACCATTCCTTGAGAGAGAAACAAGAAGAGCCAAAACAAACAGCCCTTCTCTAGTCAGGCAGGCCTAACGTCCACCGGCGGTCAGAGAGATTGGGGCAGTGGGAGGGGGCCAGGGCAGAGGAAGAGCAGCCTGTGTACAGTACAAGGAGTTTACCATCAAAAGGCAACAAGTCTCATACCCTGCCCTGGACGATGACCCTTCCCTTTGGAATTCTCCCCTCTGACCTCTAGATCATTAATCCCGAGGCTGCCAAATGACAGTCATCCATCACGCCTCCTGACGAGCATCCCAGCCGCCCATGAAAGGAGCCTGGCCCCGCCCTCCCTGCCTCCCCTGGTGCTCATTAGTGGGCCTTCCTGCTCGGTGCCAGGTTTCCTAATCAAGGCCCTGGCTCCTCTCACTTCCCTTCAGGGCCAGTGGGCGGAAGCTGCTCTGACCCTCCTCCCTCTTTCAAAGGCGGGGAGAGGGTGGAGTGATTAGTGGGGAGAGAATTGTTGAGTGGCATTTCATCCCCCTGGAGACCTGTTTCCAGCAGCTCCTTTGACGTGGTGGGGACACAGGAGAGAAAAATGAATTTTTTCATTCAGAGAGGAGGAAGCAGACAGTTAATCCAGGTGGGTGAGCCAGGCAAGAGCTCCCCTGTCAAGGAAGTCTGACGAGGCAGAGGAGTGAGTTGCCACATCATTAGGGAACAGTCTGGACTCAGTCCTGCTAACAAAACTTTGAAATCATCTAGTCCAGCCTCTTATTTATAGACGAGAAAACGTACCCAGAGAGGCTACATGTTTTACCCAGGGCCTCCGAGCCTGTGAGTTGGACCTGTCTTTCTGTTCATCCAGGCTTTAGGAGTTTCAGTCAAGTTATACTTCTAAGGAATTCGTGAACATATTTCCAACTCAGCAAAAGGTGGGCATACACAGATGTCTTTTTTTCTCTGCTTGAGGTTGACGCAACCCTTTGATTCTCTCTTTGGACAACAACAGGAACCCCCATCAACCGAATCCCCATCATGGCCAAGCAGATCCTTGACCTGTATATGCTGTATAAGCTGGTGACAGAGAAGGGAGGCCTGGTAGAAATCATCAACAAGAAGATCTGGAGAGAGATCACCAAAGGCCTGAACCTGCCCACATCCATCACCAGTGCCGCCTTCACCCTGAGGACCCAGTGAGTGGCCAGGGCTGTGGGGAAAGGAAGCTGAGACTAGAGAAAGGGAATGTTTCAACCTAGAGCAGTGGTCCCCAACTTTTTTGGCACCAGAGACCGGTGCTCCTATGAGGATCTGATGCCTGATAATCTGAAGTGGAACTGAGGTGATGATGCTAGCACTGGTTGGTGACTGCAAATACAGATGTTTTGCTCGCTGGCCCGCTGCTCACCTCCTGCTGTGCAGCCTTGTTCCTAACAGGCCACGGACCAGTACCAGTCCCTGGCCCAGGGGTTGGGGACCCCTGACCTAGAGGGAAGGAGGAAGGAAGTTCTGTTGTTCAGTGAGCAAGATGAGTGGGATTCCTGAGGCAGCCAGGAGCTTTCTGAGAGAAATCCTTCACTAGATCGAAGCAATAATGAGAGCCGGCATTTTCCGAGTATCCTGTAGGTAGGTTGCTATGTCACCATTCTGTTGCATTCAAACCTCACCATCAATTCTGTAAAGTAGATGTCATCCTCATTTTCTAGGTTACCAAAACTAGATATCAGAGGTTAGTTTGTTGATAGCCATACCAGCTAGTAAGTCAAGATTCACACCTGGGACTCTGCTTCTGAAATCCACCCTCTTTCCAGGACATCATCTCCCATACAGCACCTCCACCCGAGGCCAGGCCCTTCCTACCTGACACTCAGCTTGCCCAGCAGCACAGGACCCAGAAGAAGGCAGGCAGGCAAGGCCCCACCGGTTGGTGACTGATTTTTGTCACCATTTGAGTTAATTACAAGGATGATAGAAACAGTGAGACCAAGAGTAGCACTGGAGCATGAAGGCCAGAGGGGATTCTCTTTCAGAACACTCTGGAAGTTTCTCTGTGAAGAATGTGGAATGAGCAGCTGATGTATCAACTAGGTAGCATGTCATGTCCTTGTTGAAAAGTAGAAGGGTTTTATCTATTGAAACTGTTCCAGCAGAAGTGGGGAACAGAGCTATAACTAGTATAGCAGTTCTCTCAAGGTTCCGGGGTACAGAATTGCTTCCTGGGACATCTGACACAAAGAGGGACAGCACTTCTAGGTCCACACACAATGAGAAGAATTACCTCATCTAACCAGCCTGACTTGGGTTGCTTAGGAGATCAGGGAGCCAAACAGACATGTCACAACATGGCCTCGATTTCTCCAAGAGTATTAAAAAGGTGTCGAAACAACCGTGAAGCAATAGCAGAAATGGCTCTTATTTCCCTTAATGAGCAATGCCTCCACTTTGAGTAGTGTTCAGAATTGAGTAGCAGTTATAGGAGCCTGGGCCAGAGCTGCCAGCGGTCTCAGACTTTGCTCTTTTGTTAAGTGCACCAGGTTGTGCTCCTCTGTCCTAGAGGCCTGTCCACAAAGGCTGCTTCCACAGACCAAGCAACTTAAACGGGATGGCCTCTGGTGCCATTTTAGATTACTCTCCTTGCTTCCTTCCTTCCCTCCAGGTACATGAAGTACCTCTATGCCTATGAGTGTGAGAAGAAAGCCTTGAGCTCCCCAGCCGAGCTCCAGGCAGCCATCGATGGCAACCGGCGGGAGGGCCGGCGGCCCAGCTACAGCTCCTCCCTCTTTGGCTATTCACCAGCTGCTGCCGCCGCTGCTGCCACTGGGGCCCCTGCCCTTCTCTCCCCACCCAAGATCCGCTTCCCCATCCTTGGGCTGGGCTCCAGCAGTGGCACCAGTACCAGCAGCCCTCGGATATCCTCAGCAACCACTCTCAGGAAAGGTATGCAGGGTCCTGGAGGAGGAAGGAGGAAGGGAGCCAAGTTCCTATGTCCAGGACACAGGTGGGACGGTAGATTGTGGGTCGGTCCAGCTCTGGTGCCTTTGCCAGGTGATGGAGTCCCGGTGACAACAGTGCCTGTGCCAAATCGGCTGGCTGTGCCCGTGACCTTGGCAGGCCAGCAGGCCGGCACCCGGTCAGCCACACTGGAACAGCTGCGGGAACGACTGGAGTCTGGGGAGCCACCTGAGAAGAAGGCATCCAGGCTGTCAGAGGAGGAGCAACGCCTGGTACAGCAGGCCTTCCAGCGCAACTTTTTCAGCATGGCGCGGCAGCTGCCCATGAAGATTCGGGTCAACGGCAGGGGTGAGTGCTGGGCCCTGGGTGGCTTCATTCAAGGAAGGGCCTGTTCGGCTCATTCACATCTCCTAGGACTGGGGTAGGGCCCCTTCAGCTTCTGCTTTCCAGGTCCCCAGAAGAGTCTAGAGTCCAGAAAGCCACATGGAGCCTCTGCAGCCGCTGAGATCTCAGTTCACCAAGCTGAGGCCATTTTCTAGGGGACCAGAAATTACCTCAGGCAGTGCCCTGTTCTCTAGCAAAAAGAAGTAGTTGTTCAAGGAGGAGGAGCCAGAGACCTTCGGGAGGACAGCTGCTGTGTCTCTCCTCTACCAGCCTTTTGATCTGTCGAAATTAAAGGGCTCAGCCTTCACCCCCTACCTCACCGGATGTGGGGATGTAGGCAAGTGCAGGGCGGGTCTGGGAGGAAGACAGCACCTCCATTCCTGAGGCTTAGTGAGGGACTGAGTTGCCTCAGGCCAGGCTGCCACTGACCCTCAGAACAAGTGGGAAGGAGGAAATTCAAGTTTGGCAGCATAACTGATATCCTTTCCTGTCCCCTCTACATTTTTCAGGTGCCCCACCTCCTTGTCCCCTGAACCACACACTGCATGTTCCTTGTTTCTCTTCTCCCTCTTTCCCCTCCTCACACACATTTTCTTTGCCATTCTTCCCCTGGATGCTGTCTCAGAACAAACATGAAATAAGCATGTATGGGGAAGAAATCAGGTGCGGAGGGAGTTGTGCCCCTCCCTCACTTTCCCTGAGTGAGGAGCAGGAGGAGGCTGGAAGTAACAGCCCAGACAGCAGGGCTCTGCTCCATTATTCATTCAGGGCCTGGTGCTCCTGGTCCTGCACAAGCCAGAGGCTAACAGAAAGGCAAGTCATTTGGAAAATTCTTTGCCCTGCGTATGATGAATAGACAGAATCTGGGGGTGAGCTGGACGAGGTGCTGGGCAGGAAGACCCTCTTCTTGAGAACCTCCCAGCCTGGCGAAGGGGAGGAAAAGGCAAGGGGAGTCCTCAGAGGCTGAGACTGGGTCTTCCTAATCTTTGATTCTCAGCCTGATGGCTATTAGGTGCTCAGTTAGGTTTGCTGAATCGCGTTGAAAGCGCCAGTGCATGGCCATGAGCCTAGGTCAGACTCCTTGCTGGTGGTGACCCCTTTTCTCTGTGAGCAGAGAGACTTGCGGGGAGAAAGTAAGCTGTAGGATGCTGGTGAGCCTAGGTTCTTTTCCAGACCTTATATAGATGCTTTCTAACAGTGGGCCTTGGCCTGCTGTGGCCAGTCTGGGGACATGGGGGAGAGCCTTAGAAAGGATGACAAAAGTGCTAGAAGGCTTGACTGTGCCTGCTGTCTCCCTTGTCCCCAGCAGAAGACAGATCAGAGGCCTCAGCCACAGCGCTGAACCTGACCACAGGCAGCATCGGGAGCATTAACATGTCTGTGGACATCGATGGCACCACCTATGCAGGTGAGTCCCTTGGAACTTGAGGGAGGCCCACAGTGTGGCAGCCAGCCTCAGTGCAACTCCCTGGCCGGCCCTGCTTGTCACCCTCCTTTCTGCACACCTTCCCAGGGATGGCTTCCTTTTAGGAAGTCTCAAGGGTCTGCAGATACACCGGTTCTTCTGGACTGGTAGAGGCCGAGGGTTGCTAACAGGATGATAGATCCCCTTCCATCTTTGACAGACAGTAGAAACCCTTTGTCGAACCCTTTTGGACTAATGGTTGGCTTGATAATTGAAAAAGTCATTCAGTATGAAGAATCATAGTTCTCTATCCATGCCTTAAACATTGTATTATAAGTTAGATTGGTGTCCACCATTACAGTCTTCTCATGCATGGATCTCCTTTCTTTGTGCTTCAGCTGTTCTCTTCCTAAACGTGTCATTCCCTGTCTTTTAAATAGATCAAGGACAACGTAGGCAAAGTAATCTGAGTACACAGAATCAACCTATATTTTTATGATTTTTTTCCCTAATCATTCAGTTGTCTCTCCCTAAATCTAATTTTAAGTGCAGCTTGATAAGTAGGGGCTAAACAGCCCAGGCACACTAGCCAGTGGCCACGTGCCGGGAGCCCAGACATGGGCCACCTGTTTTACAGAGGGTGTGGGAGATGCGCCTTCCATCAAAACCGGGGTGTTTTCCCAGAGCGTGCTTCTGGCCCTTTAATGCTCTTGTGCTAAGGGCTAGGCCCCCTCAAGGAACCACCCTGCAGGCCTCATGTTTTGGATCTCTGCTGGGCCACCTGCTGCAGATCAGGGTCAGGGCAGGGATACAGGGTCAGTGCCTGGAAGCAGCCTGCAGAGAAGCAGCAATGCCAGGTTGCCTTACTAGTCACTGCTTAGTTGGTGCTTCAGAGGCTACATTCAGAGGTCTGTGCCTGACACAGGAGGCCCTCTAGAAGACCGGGTAGAGCCCAGATGCCCTTTGCCTTCTGGCAGTGCTGTGGTGGTCTAGTCGGTTTGGGGATTGGGAGTGGGTCCATGCAGAAAGCAGGGAAGGAAATTGGGGCCTGATCTCAACATCTCGTTGTCCGTTATCAGGAGAAAGGAGATAACACCTCCTTCTCTCTCAGAATGAGGAGCAGGCAGAAGAGAGTCGGCTCCCCGAGCCTCACCTGTCTCAGTCTACATCCCACCTGTGCCCCTTCTCAGAGGATATGCAGTCACACAGGCCAGGAACCTGAAAGTTGTTCCTGAGTGCCCCCTCATGCCCATCCTCGTCCCCCAGAGCTGAGTGGATACCGCTACTCTGTGTTCTTGTCATCCTCACCACTGCTGCCCTGGATCAGGCCTCTCCCCATTTGAGTAGCTTCCTTGCTGGCCTCCATCACCCATATTCCTCCCAGCCCCACAGAGAGCCTTCTGAAACACACATCTCATGATGTCTCTCCCTTTTTAAAACTTAAAGGGGCTTCACAACTCCTATGGAGTAGGACTCAGGCTTCCTTAGAGGCATGCAGACCCTCTGTCACCTTGCCCTCCCATCTCTCCGGCCTTATCTGCCTCCGCGCCTTCCCTTAAGCACTCTGTGGTCAGACCACATGACTCTGTTGGCCTCCAGCTCGTTTGCCATCTCTCTCTGCTCACAGATTTCCTCTGCCTGGCACATTGTCCCTAATTCTTCTTTTGACCGCTTTTTCTAACAGTCCAGGCATGGTCTCCCCTAGGACTTTCCAGACCAGTTTTCCCCTGCCCTCCAAAACCTTTTTGTTCCCACAACACCCTGGATGCGCTTCCCCTCAGAGTATATTTGACATTTCAGCAAAATTACTCTGCCTACCTGTCTGCCGCCTCGCCAGCCTATAAGCACCTGGAAGCAGGACAGTGTCTGGGACATCTGTCAGCATCCAGCACAGTGTCTAGAGTGGGGCCTTGCACAGTTAGGCAGCAGTAAATCAGTGGAAATGAGCGGAACCCGCCCCTTGTCTCCTTATGTGCTTATACTTGCTTTTCTGCCTCACCCCAGGTGTGCTGTTTGCCCAGAAACCTGTGGTCCACCTCATCGCAGGATCTGCTCCCCAGAGCATCGGCAGCAGCGCCAGCAGCAGCAGCAGCAGCTCTCACTGTTCACCAAGTCCTACCTCATCCCGGGGCACCCCCAGTGCAGAGCCCTCTACCAGTTGGTCCCTTTGAGGGGCAGGACCCAGCTTCCCATGCCCCACTCTCCTATTGAGAGAGAAGAAAGTTAATGCACAGAATTTACCTCATCTCGCGGAGCCCACGTCAAACACCATTTGGCCAGATGTTGAGAGTTTGGACATGTCTGCCTGTCCAGGCTCCATTCAGGTCCTGCTGTATTCTGGGGACAGGGAGAGGCTGGAGGGGCAGGACAGGGCAGTGTTGTCCAATCAGGGTTTGTCCTGGAGAACTGGGCAGGGTCTGTTTGCGGCCAGCTTCCTCCAGGGTTCCCAGGCCACCTCCCATCCTGGGCACTGTCTATCGACAATCTGTAAGCCGACTCAGGGCTGGAGGCCCTCCATATCCCTTCCCCTTTAATTTATTTTCCTTCCTCTGCCTTCCACCATGACCCTAGGGTCACTGGTCTCTTCCCCACTTCAGTCTCCCTAGCTAACTCTTATGTGGGGCTGCTAGGAGCCAAGAGCATGCCTCGTGGCCCTTCTCTGGTGAGCATGAGATGGCACCCTCCCAGCCCACCTTGCCTACTATGTTTGGTTTCTGGGGTGTGGGTCCCTCAAATTCAAGTCATGCAGTCTTCAGGGCCCCTTATGCCCCTTGTGGTGGTCCCAAGAAAGGGCACATGAGGGCAGTTCACAGGTCCTAGGGCCTACTGGGCATCTGCTGAGGGAGAGGCAGAGCCTCAGGGAGCTGCCCAGGCAGGCCCTGGCACCATTTCACACTGCCCTTTTCTGATCCTCCCAGACCTCATGCTGCCCATTTGCCCTTGTTGGCCAGCTCTCCCAAAACAGCCCACTTGTCCCTTGGGCCCCCCTTCTTCTCATGGGGTCATCTCAGCCCCAACATCCCCAAGCCTGCCGATGTCAGGTTCATTGAAATACCTCAGATTTATAATTGTTGATGTTTGATTCTTCAGGAAGTATTTGCAGCTCTGAAATTTTTTATATGTGTTTTACTGACTTTTGTTTTTTTTATTTTAAAATTTTTATTGCTATTGTAGCACCAAAGAAATGAAAGCAGATCACCCCAAAGCCAAGCAAATGATTTGGTATCTTAGCCCCTCTGGTCCTTCCCTGAGAGCCCAGCAAGGAGGCGAGGAGGCAGGCAGGAGAGAGAACTCAGGGATCACAGTGGCGGGGAGTGGTGGAACGGAAAGGCCCAGTCTCTCACAGGTTGGGTTCTGAAACCATACCAGTTCTGAAGATGGTTTTTGACTCATTTCCTACCAGAGCAGGGCTAGTCCTACCCCCTACTCCCGACTCACCAGTCGGGGCAGGACATCTTGTCTCCCCTTCACTCAACACTCCCACCTTAAGATGGGCAGGATGTGGGCCTTACAAGGTCATGCTGCCCCAGAGGATGAGGAGATGCTAGAAAAGAGCACCATCTCTCCTCTTGGACTTGGGTGGAGCAGGCTGCTCCTGTGTTGTAAAACAAGGCTCACCTGTCAGTCGAGTAGGCCCTGCAGTGTTCGATAGAACACTACCCACTGTGACATTGTCGGGCTGTGGTGGGAGACCACAGCAGCACGAGCTCATGCCTGGCTAACATTCAGTCCTGTCTAGGAAAGAGAAATCAAGAGCTTGAGCACAAAACAGATACCTCAGCCCGGTAAGCTGAAGCTTTGTTGTACTGTGTCTTTTCTGTCCCCTCCCCTAGCCCTCCACCCACACTCACACAGCCTCATCCTCCGGGGCTGACCCTTTTCTGGCCTCAGAAGCCTTCCCACCTTACCTACCAGGCAAGCGCAGGGTGTGGGCAGAGAAGGGCATCTGGGATCTGGTGCCAGGGAGGAGCCCAGTTGGCTGGCACTGGGCCTACTTGAAGGTGTCACATTTTGCCAGTGTGTTTTTCTCAGGGGTTTGGTCACGAAGGATGGACTTTTCCCACCCAGAGGACACAGGGACAGTATTCTGTGTCTTTCTGGTCATTGTATCCTCCCCCTTTCTCTAGGCAGCTTGCCCAACTTCCCCCTCTTAGCAAACCCTCCTTGCCCTCAGGACAATAGCAGGGTCTCAGCCTGAAACCTTGAGATTGGGGGTGCCAGCAGATGCCTCTAGGAATAGGGCCGTGGGCCAAGAGGAGCTTTCTCTGAAAGTGCAGTCCTGAAGGCCGCGTGCAGGCAGTCGGCCAGGGCAACTCTGCCCCCTTACCCTCCCCATCTATATGTATTCTAACCAGGAAAAACATGATAGCACATGGGTAGCCTAGGCAGTGGAGAAATACCTCAGATGTCCTCTTGCAGCAAGTGTCTGTATATGTCGTGGTTATTTTCTATCTTACATGTTCTTGAATGTTTATATTTCAATAAACCTCTACCTCTTCACACAAGCAGGTGAGTGTTTTCAGTGACTCTTCCAGTGGATAGTATTAGGGAAGAGGTGAGAGCCTTTGAGGTGAGAACAGACTGAGTGAACCACTCCTGTGATCCTCTGATTTTTCCTGAACCTTCTCCCCTTCACTGCTCACCCATCCTAACTGCAAAGCACTCACTCTCATCCTGTGTTTTATATCAGCAGGGTACCTCTGGTGTTGTCTAATCACCAAAATTAACTCCAAAGGTGTCATATCAGTGTCCTGGCAGGCACAGGGCCAGGGGATGGCTTCCATTTAGCAAACCCTTTTCGAGCTGCTGAATAAGTATGGTCCCCAGGCACACGGAGCTCACAATCTTGTGTAGGAGGCGTACACGATTATATATAGAATCAATATTTAGAATACAGTATGACTGGAACAGTAGACTGGAAGGGCTGAGAGAGGCTGGAGCAGCTCACTAGGGAATCTCTGGAAGGCTTCCCAGAGGTGGCATTTAAGCTGGAAGAATGAGATTGACAATTGGAGATTATGAGGAAGAGTGTTCTCAGCAGAGGAACTGATACATGTATATGGAAACTTGGTGGCATCAAAAGACCTGGCATTTGAGAACCGGCCAGTGCCTAGGGTTGGTGGAGTAGAGCAGTTGGGGCCAGAATGGATCCCAAGCCTAAGGGATTTGGGCTCCATCCTCTGAGCATCTGGGCACTGCTGTTTTAAAAATATGCTTTTCTAGAAGGGTGATCTGGAGCTAGGAAACATTCTAGGTGTGGACACCGTGGAACACTGCCCCTGGAACTTGGGCCTAAAATGAGCGTGCTCGCTCTTTCTGCTGTGACGCACATCCTATGGACCCAACCTGGTTTTGGCAAAACCAAAAGAAATAGAGGAAGCACTGGGTGGGTTTGTAACTGTCCTCTTCCATCCCACACCATCCATCTCACCTGTCTGCAACCCTGCGGTATCAAAGCGGGAACCCCTTTCTCTGCCGTTTTGAAGTGCTAGAAAATGAGGGTGACATTGGGACAGGCTCGAGACTGATGTTTTAAAATCTTTTGCAAGAAATGACTAATCCTTTACCAATAGTTGGCATCACATCTCACAACTTCCTGTCACATACCAGCGGTCTGTCCTGTGGAGATTCAGCGGGCCTAGTCTAGAAGGGTGCTGAAAGAGGAGAAGCAGTGTCCAGAAACATCTGATATGGAAACAGGACAGAGTGACCGGAGGCAACGCTGAGAGATAAGTGGCATCCAACGCTGATGGAGATGGAGAATCTAGAAGAATGGGGCACCAGGCCACTGCAATTTGATCCCATTTCCATTCCCAGAAGAAAATACAGGAGAATATCTCAGTCTGAGAATTCATCAAACTAGACCCTCCAAAAAGTTCATCAAAAGATAACCATAAAATAAACGGGGGTGGGGTGGAGACAACTTGCAACACACAACTAAAAAGGAGTATTAGCCAGAAAGATTTTTTTTTTTTTTTTTTAATGATTATTGTTAAAAAACAAAAGGGTTGAGGAGATGGGGCAAAGTCATGGACAGGTGTTTTGCAGAAGAGGAAAAAGATACAAATGCCTGGACCTCATTAATGATCGAGGAACTATACAGAAAACCATTCCACCATTGGAGTGACACAAATTTTAATCTTCAATACCACGTCTTGGCGAGAATGGAGAGTAAAGAGTACTCTCACAGACTGCTGAGAGAGTGTAAATTAGTCAAACCAGTCTGGAAAACACTTTGGCATTACCTAGTCATCTGGAACATGCACCTCCCCTAGAGCCCAGCAATTCTGCTAATTCTTAAGTGTGCTCCAGGAAACAGGACAGCGCTGATGGTAATAACTTTGCTGCGAAACTACCAATTACTGAACACTGGTGTGTGACGGGTGCTGTTTTATTTCTTAGCATGAATTAACTTATTTGGTCCTATACGCATTTATGAGATAGGACAATTATTATCCCTATTTTACAGACAAGGAAATAGGCACAGAGAGGCTGAGTAACTAGCCTGAGCTCCCATAGCTGGGGAGAAGAGCAGCAGGGCTTCTAATTCAGTGGTTACAGAGCCCAGAGTCTGCCCCAAGCACTCTCTGCATAGTATCTCATTGAACACCAGACCACCACCCAAAGCCCTATGAGGCAGTGACTTTGTTCATTTTACAGATGAAGAAGCTGAAGAGCAGAAACGTGCTCAGAGGTCACATCCACTGAACTGCAAGGCTGGGAAGGGAAGAGACTTTAATGCAGCTGCTATAACCTCTCCCCGCTGTGCCTCCCTTCCCGGGAGGTGGGGGCGGGGGCGCGGGGCACGGGCGACCCAGTGTGGTGAGTAGAGGAAGCCGAGGAGGCAGGGGTATTCGGTTGTCCCATCCTGCTCTATTTGCCGGTGCAAATTCACAGTCACCTGCCAGGCTAGAGCAGCAGCAAACTTTGCTCAAAGCGGTTTTCTTGGCTGCGCGCTGCAACATCCCACCTGATTGGCCAGGGTTGGCCACGTGCCCCAGCACAGCCAAGGGGACGAGGGAGGAACAGGACCGCTGATTGTGCCTCTGCTGGCCAGAGGGCGGTGCATATAGGTCTAGGTGAGACCGGAGTGCCTGTCACCACCCAGAAGGAATGGGGAGCTGGTGGCTTGGGGCTTCTGACAAGTTTCGGAGTCACCATCAGGAGAGGACAAAGAACCAACTAGGATAGCAGGACTAGTAAGAGCGGGGGCCCTGCTGTACTTGGAGACAGAGAGGTGCAAACCCCGAGGTTACTGAGACACGGGGCAGACCAGAAGGCCAAGGGGTGCTGGGGAGGCCCCTATGTGCCAGGGAACAGATGGGAGCCGGGTCTGAGAGCAAGCCGGGAGTGGGGAGGCCTGGCCTTAAGGAAGGGCCTTCCTGGGAGGGCTGTGTCTGGTTTGGAGTCCACTGGGGATGTTTCCCTGGCAGGGGACACAACCACCCAGGCCCATGTCAGCAGAAATAAAAAGGGACTTATTCTAGGACCCCAGGGTGTGGGGGGGAGCCCAAAGGGCAGCGGGACCTAGGGCTGGCCTCTAGAAGGGTCTGGAACCTTTGGAAGCGTTGCCCGTGGAAGTTATTCCTCTCCCTCTGAAAACGAGCTCACCCTGCCACCAAGGCCATAGAGCAAGCTGAGATGACCATCCCAAAGATCAGGTTTATGTCTTCTCCATGCAGAAGACCCCCTTGGCTGAACCAAAATCTCCCCGATTCCAATTTCTGAGAATTATTGGCTCCATCTGCTTTCACTAGAATCCAGCTTTTCCCACAGTGAAAAACAGAGCAGTTGACAGTTCCCAAGATTTACATGTCCAGTTTTCAGCCCTTGGGAGACGACTCTTCTGTCCCAAGCCCAATGATCCAAGGAAGGGCCCCATTGCTTCAGTTGGGCTCTGTACCCAGCGCTGCATCAATCACTTGAGAACTCAGCAGCCCCCACAGCAACTGTGTTGGATGGCAGGCGGGGCAGACGACGCTGGGAAAGAATCCCAGAGTTGTCCTGTCCCTCACCCTGCCACAGAGTCTCCCCCTACAAGACTGCTTCAGTTAAGTTAGTAGGTGGAGGGAGTGTTCAGTGACAGATTTGAGGAGGGTTCTGGGGTCACTCAGCCCAGCTGGCAGAGCTCTATAGGAGAAAGAAGCACACAGCAGAAGGGATGGGGGTGGTTCAGAAAAAGAAAAAATGGCCAAATGACCTCTAGGAGGATATCAACCAACTGTTCTGTGGCCATTGAAGATGGTCATGCTATCAAACTCAGAACAGGCAGTGTGAAATGAGAAACCACCTTTCTGGCACAAGTTAGGGGACCAGGAGGCTTATTTTGCTATGTGACCTCGGGCGGTTCCCAACCTTCTCTGGGCAGTTTCCCTCTCCATGAAAGGGGGACTGTAGAGTGACCTGAGGCACAAGTGAATGAGAAGTCTTCAACTGAAAAGTCTAAAGCCTAGTGCCCAAGGCCTTCACCAGTACACAGAGGGTCCCTGGACATCACTTTGCTGGTTCTGGGGCCGTGAATGGGCTAAGCAAACCCCAAAAGGACCCCATTACCTTTACTAGCCGCACCCTGCCCAGCTCTACTATCCACAAGGTTTCCCCTGAGAAAGAGCCAAGTAGCTTCATCTACTGAGAGTTGGGAATCTTGTGCTGACATGGGCATTTCAAGATAAAAAAGGACAGGGAGGCCTCTGACTGCAGCCATCTGCAACAGGCCCCATGCCTCAGGCCTGACAGAGACCCCAGCCTCGAAGGCCAAAGGCATAGCTACAGGGACCTCCTATCTCCCCCAAGGAGTCCTTATCTACCCTGTGGCCTGTCAGTCCAGGCCCTCTGTGCCAGGATTGCCCAACTCACTGGGGGTGGGCAAGGGACTGACCTCAATCTCTTGTGTTGCAGAGTGAGGCTGTGAATCTGTTCCCTGGTGGCTATGGGCCTCAGTCTCCACATCATCATTCTTCCTTGACATTGCCCCGGCTGCCAACTTTTCTTAGATGCTCCTCTACTCTGTGGCTCCAGGGCTGTGGCTGAGATCTGGGGGCAGATAATGCAGAGATTGACCCCATACAGGACAGAGAGGCAAGGCAGGCACCAAGTATGGAGTAGCCCTGGCTCTGTCCAGGGAAGGGAGGCCAGCTGAGAAATCCATTCAGAACCATCAAAGCCCCCTTTGAGCCTCTGTTTCCCACCTCCAACCTGCAGATGAGGAGATGAAGGCAGAGAGAGAAATGGCCTGGGTCCCACAGGAAGGCAGGGGTCATCTGCCTGCCCTTCTAGAGAGTCACCAAATGCTACCTTCAGGGGTTGAAAGGTGGCTGGAGGCTCCTGTCCCCCAGGCACTGGAGCTTGTGATGCTCGTAGCTGTACCAGCTCTTGTTCCCTAGGGATACGGTGCCTGCAGGTTGGAAATTGGTGTCTCCCAGACTCCACCAAGGGATCTGACCCCCTTCCCTGGGGATCCCCAGAGAGCAGTTGAGCCCCCACCGCATCATGTTCCTCCATGCAT